TCAGTCTGAAGAACTTCCTTTAGTGTTGTTTTAAAACTTGGTTAAAAAAAAAAGATGTAGTTCACTGCTATATAATTCACCCTTTAAAAGTGATTAACTTCAGTGACATATATATTTGCAAAATTGTATAGCCATGACTAGAGTCATGTTAAGAACATTTCATCACCACAAAGAAAGAAACCCTGTGTCCTTGACTGATCACTCCTCATTTTCCTTCAGCTGCTATTCCACCGCATCCAACCATATGCAGCCACCAGTCTCTCTTTTGTCTCTGGATTTGCCCATTCCGGATATTACATATAAATGGGATCATGTAATATGTGGTCTGTTGTGCCTTGCTTAGCATAAGGTTTTTAAGGTTCATGTTGTAGGATGTATCTGTACTTAATTTCTTTTATTACTGAATTACATTCTGTTATGTGGATATACTACATTTTATTTATCCATTTATTAATTGACAGACATTAGGCTTTTTCTTTTTGACTATTATGAATAACATTGCCATGAACATTTGTGAAGTGTTTGTGTTGAATAAGTTTTGGTTGTTGATAAGCCCATTCTTCCCTCACTAAATTGTCTTGGCATCCATGAATTGAATTCAGTTGAAAATCAATTGAGGAACTTCCCTGGTGGTCTAGTGGTTAAAATTCCTCACTCTCAATGAATGGGGCACTGGTTCGATCCCTGGTGTGAGAACTAAAATCCTACATGGCGCATGCTGTGGCCTTTAAAAAAGAAAAGAAAAATTCAGTTGTTACAAATGTGGGCATTTATCACTGGACTCTTAAGTTCTGTTCAGTTGATTGGTATGTTTAGCTTTTCAAATGACTTATTTGAAAAGACCCTGATGCTGGGAAAGATTGAGGGCAGGAGGAGAAGGGGACGACAGAGGATGAGGTGGTTGGATGGCATCACTGACTTGAAGCACATGGGTTTGGGTGGACTCCGGGAGTTGGTGATGGACAGGGAGGCCTGGCGTACTGCGGTTCATGCTGTCACAGAGAGTCAGACACGACTGGGTTACTGAACTGAACTGAATGTTTAGCTTTATGCTGAGTACGGTAGCTTTATATAAGTTTTGAGATTGGGAAGTATGTGTCCCCATTTGTTTCCGTTTTTCAAGATACTTTGAGTTATTTCGGGGTCCCTTGCATTTCCGTGTGAATTATATAAGATCAGTGGGGTCCCTTGCATTTCCATGTGAATTATATAAGATCAGCTTATCTCTTTTACAAAAATCTCAGGTGAGGCATTGATAGGGATTGTGTTGAATCTGCATTTCACTTTTGGGGAGTATTGCTGTCTCACCAATACTAAGTAAGTTGTCTAAGTTATGTAACTGTGGAGTATTTATCCTTTTTTTAAAAAGGCTGGCTTTAATTTTGTTTTTTTTCTCCCCCAACAGTTTTGTAGTTTTCTGTGTACAAGTCTTAGTATTTTGGTTCAGTTTATTAAGCAGTTTATTGTTGATCTATTGTAAATAGGGTTGTCTTCTCAATTTCATTTTTGATGTTTGTTCCTAGTGTGTAGAAATACAATTATGTTGTTATGTGTTGATCTTGGATCCTGCTATCTTGTCAAACTCATTTATTCCCTTAGTTTTTTTTTTTGTGTGTGTGTATGTGTGGATTTCTTAGGATTTTCTGTTTTATCTCCACAGAGTTTAGTATCTTTGGGGAGTTCTGGAACCAGTCTCCCTCAGATACTGGGGGTGACTGTATGCAAGATCATGTCATCCACAAATAGAGGTTTTTTTTTTTTTAAAAAACTTCTTTTTCAATCTGGATGTCTTTTTTTTCTTTTTCTTGCCTGATCACCCTGGCAGAACCTCTAGTATGGTGGTGGTGGTTTAGTTGTTAAGTTGTGTCCTACTCTTGCAACCCTGTGGACTGCAACCAGGCTCCTCTGTCCATGGTATTTCCCAGACAAGAATACTGGAGTGGGTTGCTATTCCCTTCTCCAGGGGCTCTTTTGGATCCAGGGATTGAAATCAGATTTTCTGCATTGCAGGTAGATTCTTTACCACTGAGCCACCAGGGAAGCCTGAACCTCTAGTGTAATTACATAATTAGAAATGGTGAGAACTAATATCCTTGTGTTGTTTTGGTCTAAGGAGGTAGTATTTTTTGTGATGTGTGAATTCTTTCAGATGTCTGAAAGTGTCTTTAGTTTTGAAGGCTTCTTTTAAACCTACAACATCACATTGACTCTTTAAATGCTTTATGATGGGTGTCATTCCATTGTCTTCTGTTTTACATTGTTTCCCACGAGTAGTTAGTCTGTTGTTACCATCCTTTTTCCTCTAGTCTGTTCTTTTTTCCTTCCCTTGTAAGGTTTTTCTCTTCATTTTTTTTTCAGCTGCTTGATCTTTATGTGCCTAGGTATGACTTTTTTTTGATGTTGCTGAGCTTCTTGGACCTGTGGATGAAAATCTTTCACTTTGGGAATATTTTTGTTCAATTTCTCTTCAAATGTTTCTCCTTTCTCCTGCCATTTTGGAGGTGCTGCTACCAATATGTTAGATCATCGGATGTGTCCCACAGGTCTCTGACACGTTTTGCTTTTCTCTCTATCCTTCAGTCTAGATCCCCAACCCCTGAGCCACAGACCAGAAAAATTGTCTTCATGAAACAGGTCCCTGGTGCCAAAAAGGTTGGGGACCACAAGTCAAGATGATATACTTGAATAAATTTCTGCTCACTTCAGTTTCTGAATGATTTACTTTAATAATCTTAGCTCACCTCAGTTTTAAGGGTCGGATCGAACTCCTCTTTCAGACAGGGCCCTGGAATCTTAAGTGCTGTGACCCTAAGTTTCTGTTTTCAGGTCAAGTTTCTGCATCACTGGAAATTCTGCAGAAGTCCCCTGGAGGATATTGATGGTAGCAAGACTTGTTTTCTGTTGAGGGCAGGTTTTAGTCTGCCCATACTCAGGCATTGAAAGTTTAGTTTCTCTGTGTTCCAGCAAAGATTCTTTGCCTATAGCATCCTTTTTCTGTCTTCATTTGTACTTCAACCAATGTAAATGCCTTGTAGGGTTGAAAGCACTAGTAGTCTGTGGTCACTTAGAGATGGCTGGTCCCTCTCTGGAATTCAGTTGATTTAGACTTATTTTATACCCAGAGGTATTCAGTGGCTTTAAAGAAAGAATAGAATTTTAAATTTATTTAGTGTTTTGTCACTGTATGTTCCTTGTGAACTTCTATATTCTAACTGGAAGTCTTTTATTGAAGAATTTTTGAGTGAGGTCAAGATCTCAAGTCAGTTTTTCAAGGGGCAAATAGCTACACGTTGATTTAGTTGTTGCTTTTGCATATTTGAGGTAAATGAAAGTTATACAGATAAAGTGACTTTAATTGGGTTAGTGAGTTGTGCTAACATGTTCTCAAGATACATGGGTATAGTTTATATGTGTTCAGTGATGAATTAGGCAAAGTGGGAAACTAAAAAGTTGATTTTAATTTTGATGAAGTATAAACACTGAAGTCTGGACAGATTATATGTCCTTGCCTTTATCCACCTCCATCCTACCCTCCCCTTTTATTGGAAGAACTAATGCTGGATTGTTTACATTGAAAGTGACTTTTTCAGTTTTCAATTTGAAAAATCACCTGGCAGCAACATCGTGACTGCAGTGGGAAAACTAGTAGCTAGTACATTCTAAAATGGTTAAAATGTTACATTTTATGTTGTATGAATTTTATCTCAATTAAAAAAAATCAATGGGCAGTTTGAAAGGCCCTTTCTGATGTTTATTTAAATTTTTAATCATAATGGACGTTTGTTTGCTTTTATTGGCAGTTGTAGATTTCAAGAGTTTGATTTCGTATCAGTGCCAGCTAACTCTCAAAACTGAATTCATTTGAAGAATACTGTTAGGTTTGATCTTAGCCAAAAGGCTGAGAAGCGATGCAGAACACTATTAGAAAAATAAGTGTTACAACATATCTTGCTTTTTTTTTTAATATTTTCAATTATATAACTTTATTAACAAAAGATAAATAAAATACAAAGTAGACAATAATATCAGATTTTACACTGAACCAGCCTATGTTAAGGTAGGAATATGAAAACAATAAATTTTTGATATTCTTAAGGTAGGTAAGAATTAGATTTGTTTGCATCACTGTTTTAATTTCATATTGGTCTGAATTTAGATACAATGTATATCCACAGTACTTGACAGTTTGATTCAGTTAACTTTCCCATCAGCAGTATTTCTGAGATGTTAACTTAATGCAATATTCAAGTGGGATTTGGTAGTTTGGAAAAGCCAGTGAACTGTTAAAAGTCAATGTACTTGTGTCAGGGGTTTTAAACAGATTGTTTTCACCGATCCCACTCTGTCAGTGTTATCTTCCCAATGTTATTAGAAGAAGCTTAAAAATCATGTCATTCTCAGATACTAATAGCCCTACTGGCTCTGCTTGTAATATTCTGAAGAAACCTTCAACCTCAGGTTTCACTTTTTGCAAATTTTATCGAGAGACACCTGCTGGCTATAAAGATTAGGTACAAGAGATACTCTACAATCTTTAAAAAATCTAATATTCTTGACTGTTATATAAAGGCAATCAATTAAAATAGCAATTAGTATCACAAACCATATCCTCTGTGACAAAGGAGAGGATTTCTGTATCTTAATACTCCTGTCCAGAATGGTAAAACACCTAGGACTGATCAGTCAACACTGACTCAGGGATGATTAAATTCATATCTTGCTTTTTGATTTAGTCATGAGAGTTATTTATTAAAACTTTACCCTTTATTTTATATATTTTTTCATGAGAAATTGATGGAATATGTAAAAGTGTGATGTTGGTAAACCGTTGAGAAGCTTGTTATGTTATACAGAGGTTTTTTTTTTTTTTAATGAATGGCTCTTGAAATCTGATGTGATTTTACTTGGTTTTCAACAATCTCTTTTTCCACCTTTCCCTTCCTGAGTCTTAATTATGGATGATTCTGTCCTTTTTAATCCTCCCTACCCTGTCTCTCCAGCCTTGGCAACAGTTTTGAAGATGGCTCCCATGTAACATCACCATTAAACCCAAATGAAAACTTCAATGTTGTCATTAAAGAAGAGCCTCTGGATGATTATGAATATGAACTTGGTGAGTGCCCAGAAGGGGTCACTGTGAAACAGGAAGAGACAGATGAGGAAACAGATGTATACTCAAACAGTGATGATGATCCTATACTAGAGAAACAGCTGAAGAGACACAATAAAGCTGATAACCTAGAAGCTGACCATTCATCTTCTAAATGGCAACCAAATAGCCCATCAGGTGTTGCTAAAGCTAAAATGTTCAAATTAGACGCTGGAAAGATGCCAGTAGTCTATCTGGAGCCCTGTGCTGTCACCAAAAGCACAGTGAAGGTTTCTGAGCTCCCTGACAACATGCTTTCCACATCTCGGAAGGATAGATCTTCTCTGTTGACAGAATTAGACTGTTTGCCTGCGTACATTGAAAATTCTAATGAGACTGGCTTCGGCTTAGGCAGAGAATCAGAAAATGATCTTGGAAGCCATTCACCAGATACCAGAGTGGTACAGAAATATCCCTCACTTAAAGAAGCTCAGTGGAAATACCCTGATATATCTGACAGCGTTAACACAGAAAAACTACTTGATAGTTTAAAGAGTTCAGTTGGGGACTCGTTTTTAGGAAAAGAGGACTTGGGCAGAAAGAAAACTATGCTTAAGATTTCAGTGGCTCCCAGGACTGTGAATGCTAATCAGAATGCTCCTCCAAATGTCCCTGGAAAAAGAGGAAGGCCACGAAAACTGAAACTGTCTAAGGCGGGGCGGCCACCTAAAAACACAGGAAGATCTTTAACTTCTACAAAGAACACTCTTACGGGCCCTGGGAGTACCTTTCCAGATGTGAAACCTGATCTGGAAGATGTAGATGGTGTTCTCTTTGTTTCCTTTGAATCAAAGGTAAGATTGTCATTTTCAGCTTTCTAAGGCCAAGTAATCATCATTAAGTTGTATACTAGCTGCTAGTTATCTTTGCATGTGGTTACTGTGAATGCATCCATTATATGAGGTTGTGTGCATGGGAAGGAATATTCCCATGGGTTAGCAGTATTAACCCAGCGCTTCAACTAGATTATTTTTCTTTTAGATTTTTCTTTTAGATTTTTCGAGAAACCTAGTCTTTCTAAATTGACTACACAGAGGTTGAATTCTCTCTGCCTGTTTTTTTCCTCCCTCCTTGTTAATTGCTGAGTAATCTATCTTTATTTACACAGGGGCTTCCCAGGTGGAGCTAGTGGTAAAGAACCTACCTGCCAGTGCAGGAGACATAAGAGACATAGGTTTAATCCCTTGGTCGGGAAGATCTTCTGGAGGAGGTCATGGCAACCCACTTCAACATTCTTGCCTGGAGAATCCCATGGAAAGAGGAGCCTGGCGGGCTACAGTCCGTGGGGTCACAAAGAGTTGGACACAACTGGAGCAACTTAGCATGCATGTAGAAGAAATCAGTATACAAATTGCAATAAATGGGCATAAATACAGTTCTAAGTCAGTTAGCTGAGTGTATTATATTTAACTTATTTGCTTTCTTCCCACTATTAAAGTGATGTTAATGTAGAACATTTAGAAAATAGTGGAAAGTATCAACATGGAAAAAAATGCCCCTGGTTTACTTTTAAAACCTTAGAAGTGACACAAACCACCTTTTTTCTTTCTTTCTTTCTTTTTTTTTTTAATACAGGAAGCTCTAGATATTCATGCAGTTGATGGAACAAATGAAGAATCTTGTAGTCTTCAGGCATCAGCTGCAAATGACCCAGGTATTATATAATAGTAACAGAGATGGAGAATTTGGCTCTGGAAGTGAAAGAAGCAATGTGTAGTCTGCTGTAGTCTATAGCAGCTTATTTTTATCATTGTTTTCTGAGTAGGTTGCAGAGCAAGAATTTCCCAATTGGAAAAGGAATTGATAGAAGATTTGAAGGCCTTGCGGCACAAGCAGGTCATACATCCTGGTCTTCAAGAAGGTATAATTCTCTAAAAACTATGCAAGCCTTGTTTATTTTTGTTGTTGCTGTTCTTTTTTATTCTTGTCCTTCTTTTTTCTCTCTTCCCTTTGCTCCTTCCCCAAACCTTTTCTGTTTTCCTCCTTTCCTGTATCTTTTGATTTCATTTATTTTAGCACTTCTCTCAGCTTGCATTTTTTTCTGTTCTCTCTGTTCATGATTTTTTCCCTTAACTAAAAAGCATGCCTAGGTCTTTTGTATCCTAAGAGAAACCTTTCAGACTCTGAGGATACTGTTCTATCGTTGGTGAAGCATAATATATTATGCATTAAAAATGTATCATGGTAAGAAAGTGGTATTTTTCTTATAAAGAAATTTTGGTCGCTTTTTTGGGGGGTTTTTGAAGGTTCCTTTGTTTTGTCTTTGGAGGGGAAGACCCTACTTTTTCTTATGTACTTGGTAATATATTTAGCTATGTAAAGAGCATACTTATTTCTCATACATGACTGTAAACATTTTATATATTTCATATATTGCTTGGAGTGTAGTTTAAAATTTTCATCATTACCTATTTTGTTGAAATAGTTTCTCTTGGCCTTGATTATATGGTTTAATCCTTTTTTAAAGAATAGCAAAATTTACTATACCAATGCCATTATAATTAACTACTGACTTTTCTCCCTGTTTGCACTGTAAATAGAAGAACTGTAAACCATGCCTCAATTTTTAGTTTTCTCATATCTTTTAATTTAGGTATGCTTCTTGGAGTAGTTTATTTTGAGTTTTGCCTTTTAGTCAATTTTCAAAGGACTGTCTAGGCTGATTCACATTGTATAGTAGATCATTTATATGAAAGTCTAAGCATTATATGCCAACAGAACATTGATTTATAAACAGCCATTCAGTTTCTAAATTCAGTGGTAATATTTGAACTTTTCGCTTTAATGTGAGACTGTGTGACAGTATGGTGTTAAAGTATGTAAATTTCAATCCAAGTAATCAGGACTGGATACTGTGGGTTGTAATGGAAAATCAGTCATGTCATATTAGTCTTGCTGGTAGTAATGTTTGCTGTCCTTTATTGTTTGCTTTCATTTCTGCTATTTTATTTAAATACTATTCTTTTCTTATCAATTATAATGTTTACATTGTGTTCTTTCAGCCTAATCACCACATTTATTTTATTGTCTTAGTTCTAGAGTTAAATATATTTAGTGCTCCCTGCTGATCTTTTTGCTCTGTTTGTTAATTTTTTTGGCTAAGGTTTGAGTTTTTTCCTTTCCTTATAGACATTTTAGTCAAATCTGTGATTTTTTTCCTTTGTGTAATGGGCCTTCAAAGTCAAATGCTTATGGGAACTAAGCAGGAAACATATAGTGAAATTAGCCTGAATTTGTGGGTGGGGTTGGACTCTGGTTGGCTGGAGCATAGGTTCTTTTTCTAAAGGGTAATCCACATCAGTTCAGTTCAGTCGCTCAGTCGTGTCCGACTCTTTGCAACCCTGTGAACCGCAGCACGCCAGGCCTCCCTGTCCATCACCAACTCCTGGAGTCCACCCAAACTCATGTCCATTGAGTCAGTGATGCCATCCAATCATCTCATCCTCTGTCGTCCTCTTCTCCTCCTGCCTTCAATCTTTCCCAGCATCAGGGTCTTTTCCAATGAGTCAGCTCTTCACATCAGGTGGCCAAGTATTGGAGTTTCATCTTCAGCACCAGTCCTTTCAATGAACACCCAGGACTGATCTCCTTGAGGATGGACTGGTTGGATCTCCTTGCAGTCCAGGGGACTCTCAAGAGTCTTCATATCAGTGAATTGTCAAATAGGAATGTAGGCCCATTATTTTCAGAAATTCCCATTGTGGTGTAGAAGGTTAAGTATTTTAATGTAAAATCTACCGTCGTAAGTGGTGGCAGCTGATACAGTTTTTTTGGACAGAAAAGTGTGAGGCATCAGTTTTCACTTACTACACAAATTATGCATTTAGTGTTCAAGTTTGTACTTAATCCTCACATTGTTAAGGTTAATTCAACTACATTCTTATATAGTTTTCCAGTTAAATCTGTAGTCCATGTGTACTTCTAAAATCCATGAGGCACTTTACATAATGTATGAGGCAGAATTACAGTTTGGAATTTTTCCTCTTATTTTATTTTGGCAGATGTCTCCCCCAGCCCCCAACCTTTGCTTAAGACTTAAAATATTAAAAGAATTAAGTTAGTTTGACTAAATGTTTATAGTAACTGATGGTGCCAACTAAGTATCTGCAGATAGTGAAAATACTCATCTAGATTTCTTTCTAAGAATTGATGCTTGAAGTAATTTATTAAATTTATTACATTTCAATTCAGTAATGTCATGTTTCTCTGCCTTTCTGTCAACTGTAGTATTTCGTTATTAGAAAATGAGCACTTCTAAATCTAGAAAGTTTTTGAGCTGGAAAAAAAAACCTTGAAAAACTTTGTGAACTTCCTTTGTAATTGTGGAAGAAATGTTGATTTAAGCCTGAGAAAATGTTTTTATTGTTGTTGTTCATAGTTTTGTTGCTAAAATAAGATTCTTAATTTTGTTTTCCACAATGTGATATTTTTGTCTCATACTTTTCTTTGCTACTCCAAATTGGTTCATTTTCTAAGTCCATCAACCTGAAATTACAATTTTTTGATCTTTAAAGGTATTTTTATAAAAGCGTTTTTCTACTTCATTGCTACCAAGTGAATTAATTCTATGTCAGTCGTTACATTAATGTTTTATTTTAGGTGAGTATTAGATTTGCAGAAATATTGGAACCATAGTACAGAGTTCCCATATACTCAACATCCAGTTTCCCCTGTTGTTAACATCTAACTTTAGCCCAGTACAATTGTTACAATTAGAGAACCTACTGATACACTATTATTTATTAAAGTGCAAACTTTATTCAGATTTCCTTAGTTAACTTTATGTTTCAGGGTATCACCTAGGAAAATGTCATAGTACTGCATTTAGTAATCATGTCTCCTTAAGATCCTGTTGGCTGGGATGGTTTCTCAGCCTGTTTCATTTTTAATTATCTTGACAGTTTTGAGGAATACTGGTCAGGTATTTTGTAGAATGACCCTCAGTTGAGATTTGTGTGATATTTTTCTCATGGTTCACCTGGGACCATATGTTTAGGAGGAAGACCACAAAGGTAAAGTGCCATTCTCATCTTACCATATCAAGGGTATGTATTATCAACATGATTTGTCACTGACATTTTTATTCTGTAATTTTTGGAAGGAAGTCACTGTGTAGTCTGCACTTAATGAGTCGTAAGGTATGCTTCTCTTTGTTGAGGATGGAGTATCTGCATAAATTACTTGGGATTTTTCTGCAGCCAGAGATTTCTTTTTCCCTCATTTTCATTCAGTCTTTTATACAGTATGAACTCCTGTCAGTTTTTTTTTTTTTTTGTTTGTTTGTTTTTGTTAAATTCCCTAAATGACAGTATTGCCAGGGCACTCTCTCTTTCTTTTTAGTTACTTTAAAAAAAATCTCTGAATGTAGTGTTAAATCAGTGGTTAGGTAGAGTTTTTCGTTTATGTATCTACATCTACTTTTCTGTTCTGTGTTCACTAGTTATACAGGTTTTTCTTTTGAGTGTATTTTTGTGGATACCTCCTTTTTAAGTACATTTAGCTACATGCGCACTTTTTTTTTTTTTCCTGCTACAGTTTATCATCTTAGGTGATTCTGCCTTGAACCTAGAGGGTTATCTGTTTTTGTTTCTTTCTTTATGAGTCTTTTTTTCAATGGTGTGATAATGTGTTCTTAAGAAGTTTCTCCTAAAATGATGAAAAGGCAGAAGCATTTAGGGGTATGATTTAAACCATCATGTGCAAAGGGTTTTGTGCTTTTACGGGGATATGCTAAGAATTATTTAACTTATTTTTGCAAGCTAAAGTTATTCTCATTCATATAGAACCGACTAAGTCTGAGTCTTAAGGCAAATAAGTCTTCATGGCAAATAGATGGAGAAACATGGGGAAATAAGTCTTCATGGCAAATAGATGGGAAAACAATGGAAACAGTGAGAAACTTTATTTTTTTGGGCTCCAAAATCACTGCAGATGGTGACTGTAGCCATGAAATCAAAAGACGCTTGCACCTTGGAAGAAAAGCTATAACCAACCTAGACAGCATATTAAAAGACAGAGACATTACTTTGCCAACAGAGGTCTGTCTAGTCAAACCTATGGTTTTTCCAGTGGTCATGTGTGGTTGTGAGAGTTGGACTATAAAGAAAGCTGAGCACCAAAGAATTGATACTTTTGAACTGTGGTGTTTGAGAAGACTCTTTGAGAATCCATTGGACTGCAAGGAGATCCAACCAGTCCATCCTAAAGGACATCAGTCCTGGGTGTTCTTGGAAGGACTGATGCTGAAGCTGAAGCTCTAATCCTTTGGCCACTTGATGCGAAGAACTGACTCATTTGAAAAGACCCTGATACTGGGAAAGATTGTAGGTGGGAGGAGGGGACGACAGAGGATGAGATGACTGGGTGGCATCACCGACTCAATGGACATGAGTTTGAGTAAACTCTGGGAGTTGGTGATGGACAGGGAAGCCTGGTGTGCTTCAGTCCATGGGGTCACAAAGTTCAGTTCAGTCGCTCAGTCCAACTCTTTGCGACCCCATGGACTGCAGCACACCAGGCCTCTCTGTCCATCACCAATTGCAATACTTTGGCTACCTGATGTGAAGAACTGACTCTTTTAAAAAGACCCTGATGCTGGGGAAGATTGAACATGGCAGGAGAAGGGGACGACAGAGGATCAGATGGTTGGAAGGCATCACCGACTCCATGCACATGAGTTTGAGTAAGCTCCGGGAGTTGGTGATAGACAGGGAAGCCTGTTGTGCTGCAGTCCATGGGGTTCGAGAGAGTCGGACATGACTTAGTGACTGAACTGAAACTGAAAGTCTGGGTCTCAAGTACTAGTTTCTTGGGGAAGGATTTTCTCTAAGGACAAACATTTCAGGATGTGTAGGTAAGCTAAGTTGGGAATTACTTTGAGCAGTGTCCATGTGCCATTGACCTCTCTACTGTTAAGGCTTTAACAAAATTGATAAGTATATTTAAAATAAATTTGATCATTGATGTGTATCATTTGATACACCCTTTGGGGGAAGATGGCAGTTCAAAATATTAGCAAATGCAGACAAGAAGATATGTAGGGAAAACAGTCTGTAAATTTGATTGTTCTGGTCTAGATTTTGCATGTCTACCTACCTATTTAGCTGTATGGATGCATTTTTAACAGCTTAATTCCTTTTTTTCTGTTTTCTCTGTAGGCTCAAGTAGTTTTTGTCTGTAATAATAATGTGTTTCTCTTTTCAAAGCACTATAGTATCTAATTTTATCCTTTGTTTAGGATTCAGTGTCACTTGAATTTCTGCAGTATTTTGCGTTCTGCTCCACTCTGGTTCCACTGTGCTCTGCCTCCCCACCTTTCCTAGTTAATTCCTACTTACTCTAACTTAAGAATTAGACTCTCTGTACAGTTTTACCAGGTTGCCTTGGGCTTTTCAAGTATCATTCCATTTGCCTCTCACAGGATTTTTTTACTCTATTGTAACTACTAATGAGTCAGTTGGGAAAACAACACAAAAGCTCCATGAGTTCTGGGAAATGTCTTTTATCTCTGTCATCATCTACATTGCAGAGCATTTCAAAGAGAAGGTACAGTTAATTCTTAAGACATAAAACTCAGTGCAGTGGATTGATAACTTATTTCACTGATGAGAAAGCAGAAACTAAGAGAAATTTAGCCCAAAGTCAGGATTAGAAAACAGTTTTTTTGACCCATGTTAACCTGCCTGCCAAAGCAGGAGACTTAAGAGACATGGGTTTAATCCCTGGTTTGGGAGGATCCCCTGAAGGAGGGCATGGCAGTCCACTCCAGTATTTTTGCCTGGAGAATTCCATGGACAGAAGATTGCGGTAGACTACAGTCCATAGGGTCGCAAAGAGTCAGACATGACTGACACTGACAACACACACACACATATTTTTCTCCCTAGTTGATTGAAACATGAGAAAATACTTTATTGATGTTCATTTTAATCACATTATGTGATTAAATAAAATAAGCATGATAAAATGATACTATTTTAAAGAACTAGAATTATAAACTAAAGCCAAATTACCATCTTTTGTTTATTAAGTTTTATGTGGAGTATATACAACCTTAAGAGAACTTGAAGCTTGTAACCTGACCAGTGTGTTCACCTTGCAGGAAACCAGTACTATATAAGCTTTTTATTGGAAACCTGTACCTGTGACTTCTAGTAGTTAATACTAGGATCGTTGATGCTTTGAATTTTCTTTTTTTTTTTTTGATGCTTTGAATTTCTCATTTCAGTTTTGTTCAAATTTAAGTTAAATACTTTCCTGCTCAGTAATATGAAGTCAGTAATTGCACAAACAAGGAAATTCAAATTAGAAGCTTGTCACTAGTAACAGCAAAAGTTCAAATTTAAGAACAATAGGATATAGATTTATACCAATAAGATGAGGACAGTTTTAAAAGTCCAGTGATATAAAATGTTGGTGAGGATGTCGATCAGCAATGACTCTTAACGCTGTTGGAAGTTTAAATGGAGAGTTAATTGGCAGTCTAGTGAACAACTTCCCAACTAGTGCAGTATTGCATGTGGTTATCCATGATTGTGTGACAGGTATGCTCTTGAAGTACTTGATCTCAGAGTGGCCAGACAAGACCATGGGAAATTAACTGTAACTGGTTGCCTCTAGCCATAAGCAGCCTAATGTTTATTCCAGTTTGTTGTGTAATTACTGTTTTCTTATTTCCCATTAAATAAGAAAGATTCAGAATAACTAGGTATATCAGTTAGAATTCTTAATTGCACACATCAGAATCCACTTACTTTACAGGTGAAATAGGATATAAATTTATTAAAGAATATCAGATGATTTACAGAGAGAAACAGACTCTAGAACTATGCAGTCAGGAAAAATGTCCAAATTATATTCCCTACAAGCCCATACAAGCAGTCTCACAACACTGAACAGTTATTACCATTTTGAACATAGTACACTGAACACAGTATACTACAGCTAGGGCGTTGATTACTTCTAAAAGTTCTTAACTTGGTGAAACAGTATCACCCTCATTAACACAATTCTGCATAGTATTCCTTTGCTTATGGTCCTCTCTTCTAGATTGAAGCCTTTTATGGCTGCATCTGTGTTTTAACACTTCTCCGTTGAAGAGGTGGGGGTTATAATGTGGAAAAGTAATAAAGGTTCTCAGAATATTTTGGGCAGCCACATGTATGTCAAACAATATCCAGTAAATTAAAGATGAACATATCCCATTATATAGCAATTCCACTCTTGAGGAATTGCCATAAGGAAAAGCTAAATGCACTGGAGAAGCTTTCATACATGTTCATATTTCTGATAGACTTTTTTTGTACAAGATGTAAAATTATACTGCAGTATTTTTTTGTAATAGTTTAAAGTAGGAAACAGCTTAATTCTCATCAGGAGGAGAATGGTGAATAAATGAGAGTCATTCATAATCTGGGATAGTGTACAACAGTGAAAATCATGTAGACATAAACCTGTCAACATAGACAAATCTTGATGTAAAATGTGAAGGGAGAAAAGGTAAAAAGATAGGTAAAATAAATGCTTTCCCAATGCCTACAGGTAAGCCATAATATTTATAGGCTCCATTAACCATAAATATCTTAATAATAACTAAAGAATTAATAGCCTTCACCAGGCCAGACGCTCAGACTATTGCATGTTTGTATTAGAGGTCCTAGAAAATCTCTGGGCTATAAAGTATTAAAATACAAAAGATCTCAAGTCTGCTATGTTTATGTATTAGTTATCTATTGCTGCTTAACAGATTGCTACAAACCTAGTGCCTTAAAACAACACACTTACTGTCCAAGGGTTCTGTGGGTCAGGTGTTAGGGCATAGCTTAACTGGGTCCTCCTTTTAAGGTATCACAGGATTGCAATCAAGATGTCAGACTTGTCTCCTCATCAAAGGTTTGACTGGGGAGGGATCTGCTTCCAGTTTCCCTCAGGTTGTTGGCAGAATTTTTATCCTTGCAGCTCTAGCAGGATGGATGATACACTTACTCTTATATTATTACATGTACATAATCATGTACATCCCATCCCTTTTGCCACAAGTTAGAAGCAAGTTGCAGGGCCCACCAACATTCAAGATAGAAAGGGGAGGATTTTGTAAATATATAATACCCAGGAGGTGAGGATCATGAGGCCACCTTAAAGTCTGTCTGCCACTTTCAACTTTTATTTCATCATTACTGCTCTCCACTTATTCTTTATTATACCCCTCCCTTCCCCCTCCCCCCAACCAGAGATTAAAAAATAACCAATGTGATTCTTTTTTTTTTGTAGTGGGCTTAAAATTGAATTCAGTGGATCCAGCAATGAGCATTGATCTTAAGTACTTGGGAGTACAGCTACCTTTGGCTCCAGCCACTAGCTTTCCATTCTGGAACCTTACCGGAGCCAACCCTGCCTCTCCTGGTGAGTGCATAGTATTTGTAAAGTCAAACAGGTTTGTGATAAAAATAAAATGCTACCATTGTTAGAGACATTTAGGATACACTAATTAAATCCTTTATCTAGTGGTGAGTCTTAACTATGATTTATACATTTTAGATGAAATTATAGTAATTAATTAGGTATTAAATATTGGCTTCGTGGAATTTTGATCATCTCTTTTACTTTTACTTTTATAGATGCTGGATTTCCCTTTGTTTCTAGGACAGGGAAGACCAATGATTTCACCAAGATCAAGGGGTGGAGGGGAAAGTTTCACAGTGCTTCTGCATCTAGGAATGAAGGTAATCAGCTTTTAAAAAACTTAAAAATACATTCTGAAAAATGTGGCCAAAGACTTGTTAAAAGTAAACCTTGGTTGTTTTTCTTTCTCTCTCCTTTCCATGCTTTAAAATAAACTGAAAATAATTATCTTGCCTTTTTTTGTTCATTTTCTGTGTCCTGTAGTCCCTGTCCTGGGGTTCCGTCCCTAACCATGTCAGACTTAAATAATCATTGCAGCCTTTTCAAACTGCACTTCCTTTCTATTCCTATAGTTACAAAAAGCATCATTGTCAAGCATTATTTCAGAACTGTATACTTCAGAGCTGTAGAGTGATTTCCAATAATGTTACAGTACTTCAAAGTAAACTTCTAAATCCAATCTGAAATCTAAATTTTGATTGTGTGTCTGTTGGTCTCCTTTCTTAGTGCTTCTCCTTTCACACTGCAGTTGTTTGCAGTTACACTCTAACTAGATAAATTTATCGTTTGTTCAATATAATTTTTCTCCTCTTTGAATCTTTGTACAGTATTATAATAGTGTAATGCTTGTCTCTGTTAAACTTGCTTTTTCTTATTCTTTAAAAACTAAATTTTATGCTCCTGTTTTTGTGCCCTTAGCTTTTTCCCTTACTTCTGAGGAGGGACAGTTTGGAAGATCTGGTAGCTTATAAAGGAATGCTCCTGGCATTTTTTTTTAAGTGTATTTTTCTAGAGACATAAATATCTGTCTTACATTTCTTTAAGTATCTGTATATCTTTATTTCTAGGTGGAAATTCTGAAGGTCCATTGAAAAACCGTTCTGCTTTCTGCAGTGATAAGTTGGATGAATACTTGGAAAATGAAGGCAAGCTGATGGAAACAAGCATGGGTTTCTCTTCTAATGCTCCCACGTCGCCTGTGGTATACCAGCTTCCCACCAAGAGTACCAGCTATGTTCGAACACTTGATAGTGTGCTGAAGAAGCAGTCTACCATTTCCCCTTCTACCTCTTACTCTTTGAAACCTCATTCTGTACCCTCTGTCTCTAGAAAGGCAAAGTCTCAGAACAAACAGGCAACTTTCAGTGGCCGAACTAAATCATCTTATAAATCCATTTTACCATACCCTGTTTCACCAAAGCAGAAACACACTCATCTGATTCCAGGAGATAAAATTACCAAGAATTCTTCAAGCACCACCTCAGAAAACCGGGTGAATAATTTGATTGTGCCAACTTTAGATGAAAATACATTTCCAAAGCAAATTAGTTTGCGGCAGGCACACCAGCAGCAGCAGCAGCAGCAGCAGCAACAGGGATCTCGCCCCCCAGGCTTGTCTAAATCTCAAGTGAAGTTAATGGATCTGGAAGACTGTGCACTTTGGGAAGGAAAACCAAGGACCTATATCACTGAAGAGCGAGCAGATGTGTCCTTAACAACTCTGCTTACGGCTCAGGTAGGTATCTTTTGTTTTCCATAAGTATATTAGTCTTGTCGAGAAAAATTAGGTCGTTAGGAGAAATGGGAATGGGGCTTTTTGGCAGGAGGATGGGGTGTTAGTTAACTTAGTGACAGCTAAGGAAATGTCTCCCACATTTGTTCTTCTTTATCAACTAGATACCAAGTGTAGATTCCTCCTGCCAGCAGAGAGAGACTGTACAGTCATGCTTTTGAATTGTCCCTCTCCTTTATAAAGGCAGCTGACTATTCTGAACATTTCTAATTTCATTCTCCAGCATGTGGGCAAGTACATTTACTGTCTTGTTAAACAGCTTTGAAAACTCTGCTTAGAAGGTATTAAATCCCAGAAAATGCCCCCAAATTATCAACCTACAGAGAGCACGGTTTTGTCTTTTATAAAATTGCATATTAAGAAATTTTCATTAATTGTTGATTCACCTATGGTAATGTAGGTGAATGGTATGTTATAGCCTTGGTGTATGTGAAATGATACAGCAGCATGTGGATAAGTTTTCTGTCATGAAATTTCTGTAGTTTACCTTCCATATTTTAAATTCTGTGACTAAATTCTAGAGCTGAAGATCATCAGATATTGGGACTAAATATAAATTTTATCTTTAAAATCAATCATTCCTAAAGACTTTTCAGTTCAGTTCAGTCGCTCAGTCATGTCCCGACTCTTTGCGACCCCATGAACCGCAGCACGCCATGTCTCCCTGTCCATCGCCTACTTTCAGAGTCCACCCAAACCCCTGTCCATTGAATCGGTGATGCAATCCAACCATCTCATCCTCTGTCGTCCCTTTCTACTCCTGCCCCCAATCTTTCCCAGCGAGTCAGTTCTTCACATGAGGTGGCCAAAGTATTGGAGTTTCAGCTTCAACATCAGTCCTTCCAATGAACACTCAGGACTGATCTCCTTTAGGGTGGAATGGTTGGATCTCCTTGCAGTCCAGGGGACTCTCGAGTCTTCTCCAACACCACAGTTCTAAAGCATCAATTCTTTGGCACTCAGCTTTGTTCATAGTCCAACTCTCACATCCATACATGACCACTGGAAAAACCATAGCCTTGCCTAGATGGACATTGTTGGCAAAGTAATGTCTCTGCTTTTTAGTTTGCTATCTAGGTTGGTCATAACTTTCCTTCCAAGGAGTAAGCGTCTTTTAATTTTATGGCTGCACTCACCATTTGCAGTGATTTTGGAGCCCAGAAAAATAAAGTCAGCCACTGTTTCTACTGTTTTCCATCTATTTGCCATGGAGTGATGGGACCAGATGCCATGATCTTAATTGTCTGAATGTTGAGCTTTAAGCCAACTTTTTCACTCTTTCACTTTTTCAACTTTCACTTTGATCAAGAGGCTCTTCAGTTCTTCTTCACTTTTTGCCATAAGGGTGGTGTCATCTGCATATCTGAGGTTATTTATATTTCTGCCGGCAATCTTGATTCCAGCTTGTGCATCTTCCAGCCCAGCGTTTCTCATGATGTACTCTGCATATAAGTTAAATAAGCAGGGTGACAATATACAGCCTTGACGTACTCCTTTTCCTATTTGGAACCAGTCTGTTGTTCCATGTCCAGTTCTAACTGTTGCTTCCTGACCTGCATACAGGTTTCTCAAGAGGCAGGTCAGGTGGTCTGGTATTCCCATCTCTTTCAGAATTTTCCACAGTTTATTGTGATCCACACAGTCAAAGGCTTTGGCATAGTCAATAAAGCAGAAATAGATGTTTTTCTGGAACTCTCTTGCTTTTTCGATGATCCAGCGGATGTTGGCAATTTGATCTCTGGTTCCTCTGCCTTTTCTAAAACCAGCTTGAACATCTGGAAGTTCACGGTTCACGTATTGCTGAAGCCTGGCTTGGAGAATTTTGAGCATTACTTTACTAGCGTGTGAGATGAGTGCAATTGTGCAGTAGTTTGAGCATTCTTTGGCATTGCCTTTCTTTGGGATTGGAATGAAAACTGACCTTTTCCAGTCCTGTGGCCACTGCTGAGTTTTCCAAATTTGCTGGCATATTGAGTGCAGCACTTTCACAGCATCATCTTTCAGGATTTGAAATAGCTCAACTGGAATTCCATCACCTCCACTAGCTTTGTTCATAGTGATGCTTCCTAAGGCCCACTTGACTTCACATTCCAGGATGTCTGGCTCTAGGTGAGTGATCACACCATCGTGATTATCTGGGTCATGAAGATCTTTTTTGTACAGTTCTTCTGTGTATTCTTGCCACCTCTTCTTAATATCTTCTGCTTCTGTTAGGTCCATACCATTTCTGTCCTTTATTGAGCCCATCTTTGCATGAAATGTTCCCTTGGTATCTCTAATTTTCTTGAAGAGATCTCTAGTCTTTCCCATTCTATTGTTTTCCTCTATTTCTTTGCATTGATCACTGAGGAAGGCTTTCTTATCTCTCCTTGCTATTCTTTGGAACTCTGCATTCAAGTGGGTATATCTTTCCTTTTCCCCTTTGCTTTTCACTTCTCTTCTTTTCACAACTATTTGTAAGGCCTCCTCAGACAGCCATTTTGCTTTTTTGCATTTCTTTTTCTTGGGGATGGTCTTGATTCCTGTACAGTGTCACGAACCTGCATCCGTAGTTCATCAGGCACTCTGTCTATCAGATCTAGTCCCTTAAATCTATTTCTCACTTCCACTGTATAGTTACAAGGGGTTTGATTTAGGTCATACCTGAATGGTCTAGTGGTTTTCTCCACTTTCTTCAATTTCGGTCTGAATTTGGCAATAAGGTGTTCATGATCTGAGCCACAGTCAGCTCCTGGTCTTGTTTTTGCTGACTGTATAGAGCTTCTCTCCATCTTTGGCTGCAAAGAATATAATCAATCTGATTTCAGTTATGCATGTATTTTTCTGTTCTCTTTTTATTAATTACCATAGAGCAGGGGTCAGTAAACAATTTCTGTAAAGGGACAGATAGTTAATACTTTTGGCCTTGTAGGCTTTATCGTCTCCGTTGCAGTTTCTCAACTCTGCTGTTGTAATGCCATAGATGTTATGTAAATGAGTGGACCTTGGTGTGTTCCAATGAAATTTTACTTAGGAAGCAGACTGAATTTGGCCCTTGGGCCTTAAGTTGGTCAGCCCCTGCTCTATAGCATTATGTGTGATGTCTGTTGAGAATAAGTTCATACTTGTTGATATCTTGGCTCATAATTAAACTGTTGGAGAGGGGAAAGGCAGTCTACTCCAGTATTCTTGCCTGGACAATCCCATGGACAGAGGAGCCTGGTAGACTACAGTCCGTGGGATCGCAAAGAGTTGGACCTGACTGAGTGACTAATGCTAACACTAATTAAAATATTTGTTCTCTTATCTATGCTATGCGTTTTAGAATGGGAGATTGCTCAGACTTCTTGTTATATTCCTACTTTGTCTTCTGAATCTGAACTAATCTTATACTGTTTGTACTGAGTGCTCGGAACAGAAGGCGGCAGACCAGTATATAATTGTAACTTGTTAGAGGATGTTTTAGGAGATTTATAATTTTCTACTCTTAACTTTAGGCATCTCTCAAAACTAAACCCATCCACACTATCATAAGGAAACGAGCCCCTCCATGCAACAATGACTTCTGTCGATTGGGGTGTGTATGTTCAAGTCTAGCTTTGGAGAAGCGACAGCCTGCTCACTGCCGCCGACCAGACTGCATGTTTGGCTGCACCTGTTTGAAAAGAAAAGTTGTACTTGTTAAAGGGGGATCCAAAACTAAGCATTTACAGAGGAAGAGTGCTCATCGTGATCCAGTATTTTATGATAATTTGGGTGAGGAGCAAAAAGAAGAAGGAGAAGAGGGAGTCAAAGAGGAGGAAGAACAATTGAAAGAGAAAAAGAAGAGAAAGAAGCTAGAGTACAGTGAGTATTAAGAATTAAGACAGTACAGTTGTTTTTTTTTTTTCCAAATAGTATGATTATTTGAAAATGTATCTCAGGTATAAATTACTTTAATCTTCTTAATCAGTGATCTCATTAGAATTTAATTCTTATTATTCTTAAAATGCTCTTTGTATATGGCATGTGTGACATACACAGACCTGCACTCATGCTTTTTTTAAATTGAAATTTTCTCTTGAAGATAGCTCTTCTGTGTTAAATTCGAATCTTCTCTCAATTTCATTTTTTCCTTTTCTACTATATCTTTTTATTTTGTTTAAATAGATTGACTAATTTCACCATGTAATTAAAGTTTCTTGCTTCTTAGTTTATTGGTGGATTCTTTAGTGTTTGAGCCACCAGAGAAACCCTCTTAGTTTATTAGAGGATTAATATTCCAGTTTTGGCAGTTTATGTTTACATTTGCTTTTGTTTGCCATGTACTTTCTTCAGTCAGATTGGATGATTAATATTTTGATATATGTTCTTCCAGTATTTTCTGTTCATCTACTTGTGTGTGTGTATATATATATATATTTTATAGAAATGAAACTTCTGTACATATGGTAACTTTTATAACTTTCTTATCGTAAAATCATGTTCTGCTTTGTGTATTAACAACTGCAGCTCTATAATTTTACTTTTAATAGCTTTGTATTATCACAGTTCTTTTGGTTGGATATTTAGCTTTTCTGGGTTTTCAAATAGTATGGTGATGAACATTCATGTTCAGTATAGGCTATTAAAAGTAGAATTGCTGTGACAATGAGGATTTTTTAAACATTTTAAAATGTTTCTACAATTGTACCAACTACACAATTACCAGTAGTTGGATAGTGCCAGTTCTATGTTCTTGTTAGATATTAAAACTGATAGGTAGAAATTGATGTCATCTTAAATTTATATTTCTGTAGTGATAGGTTTATTGACCATGTCATAACTATAAATGGCCTTTTCAAATTCTTTGCTAACTTTTATTGGAGTGGTTTTGTTTTTTTCCCATATGTTTTCATGAGCTTTATTTTTCTCCAAGTTGTAATTTGATAATTTACATTTTAATTTTCTTCAGAGTTCTTCCCATCTCCCTTAGGCAAAGGAAAATCAGAGATGACATGGTTAGGTCTAATAGTCTCTTCTTTTTATGATTCTGGTTCTTTGGAATCTTAGACTTTCTCTATCCTCAAGATTAAAAAAAAATTTATTAGTAAATGGTCTTAAAAAATTAAGTTGTTAATATATCTGGAATTTATGTGATATTTGTAGTAGGCATCATTTGTATTGGGCATCATTTCTCCCTCAAATGGCTAGCCAGTTGTACTATTACTTGTTGAGAGTAAATACTTGACTTACTGGTGTGAAATGTCATCTGTGATACAGGACATGAAAATATACCAGTGTTTGGGTCTGTTTTTAGCCTCTGCTGTTCATTTTGTGACCAGTGCCAGGCTATTCTAATTGCTATTTCAGTATTCAAATAAGGTACTCTACCTGCATGAACTTGTTGCAAATATGATTTTAAAAGTTTAGAATGAAATATAATACAAAGTTATTAATTTAGTTTTTCCCATATCTAGTTATTGAGTTTACCCCATCTTGCACTTACAGCAATACTTTTCCATTTGAAAGCAACAGAAGTAAGTTACAAAAACCACAGCAGGAGGAATACTGTGTATCTGTTAGGTTTATTACTTTGCTTTCTTGGTAGAGACTTCACCCTGTGTCTTAATTAGAGTTAAACTCCAGAAGCCAGCCAATTATCAAAGTATATTTTGGTTTTCTCACTGGGATAGTCCTTAATGAAAGACATTGTCTGCTATGTTCTAGGAGCCATTAAGTTTCTTGTACTGTTAGGGAACAATGGGGAGAGGAGGGAAGATACTTTTGTAATGATTGCTCTGTAAAAGGAGTAGAAATAGGGAAGAGTTCTTAGAGGCAGAAGTGTTGCTGAGACTGAAAATAAAGATAAATATAGAAACTGGAAGAAGTTGAAATCTAGCAGTGTTTTGTGAAAAGATAGGTGGAAAATGAGAAAAAAAATTGCTGATGATTAAAAGGAGTTGGAGAAAGTTAGGAGAAAATGAAAGAGAAATTACTGGAAGAAATGATGGTAGAGGGCCTTTCCTGGTGGTGCAGTGGTTAAGACTCCACGCTTCCACTTCAAGGGGCACACAAAGTCTATCCCTGGTCAGGGAACTAGGATCTCATATTCCGTGTGGTGTGGCCAAAAGTAAATAAATAAATAAAAGTAATAGGGTAGAGTAGAATAGAACAGAAAGAAGTGGTGATAGAAAATGTCTCAAAACTGAAGAACATGACATTTCTGATTTAAGGGGCCACTGAATTCCAGGCAGTTAAGAATTTTAAGGTGACTCTACACGTTCTTCTGACATTTCAGAACACTGAGAGTGAAGAAGATATCCTGAACTCTTTTTAGAAGAAGCCATTTTTACTAAGAAGGATTTCGAATCAGTTTGGTGTCAAAGAGATCATCAATAACACTGGATGTTTGAGTAATATTTTTAAAGTCAGAGTTGAATAGGGATTGGATGAATTTTTAATCTAACACTCTTGGCCAAGTTATAAACCATAATTTATAATTATGCATGAAATAGAGATATATTAAAACATCAGGATGCAGGAAGTTGATCTGTTACAGATTCTTGGTTACTTTCTTGAGGTTGTGCTCCAGAAGATTGAAAAAAAAAAAATTCAAGAAATAAGAGATAACATCTAGTGAGTTAATGAACACAACCCAAGAGAAAACAATCTTAGGATGACTGCTATAGACCAAGACTATAAAGCAAGCAGTCTAATTTAACATAGAAAAATCAGAAGATGCTGAGAAGACTACCTTTAAGAGTATATTAGTTTTATTTTAAGAAGTGACATGGTTAAGAGCCTGGATGATTCATGATTAGGTGAAATTACATGCCAACTTCATCAGTTAACAAAAGAATTGAAAACACAGGAAGGAAAAAATTTGTACAGGAAAATTATGGTCCAACTATTGTATGAACCAGTACAATTTTTGGTAAAGTTTTGAGCAATTAAGAAAAGAGGGACTTCCCTCTTAGTCCACTGGATGAGAACCCACGTTCCGTTATGGGGAACACTGGTTCAGTCCCTGATCTGGGAACTAAGATCCTACATGCTGCATGAATAATAATAATAATAATAAATTAGTAAGAAAAGAGGATCTATTGGAGAATTTGAACAGATTTAGTGGTATAGAATTACATTTTCTTCTCCTTGGGGGTCAGTCACGTTAGTTGATTCTACAAGGATTGATAGGGCTTCCCTCATAGGTTAGTTGGTCAAGAATCTGCCTTCAATGCGGGAGACCCCGGTTTGATCCCTGGGTTGGCAAGATCGCCTGGAGAAGAGAAAGGCTACCCTCTCTAGTATTCTGGCCTGGAGAATATACAGTCTATGGACTGTATGGACTATACAGTCCATGGAGTCCCAAAGGATCAAACAAGACTGAGCTACTTTCACATTCTTTCACAAGGATTGATCACATAAGCATAATTGACTAAGCAGATGTGTGGATATTTTGATTTTTAGAATTGGCACATACAAATTGTTGAGGTTCCAAATTTTTAGGATAGAAATTCACAAACCATGACAATGTGAAAGTAGCTCTGTAGCTGATGGAAGTTGAGATATGGAACAAGTTTAGGATGCTAATTTCCTTATCTTTCATCACACTGAGTCCCTAGCTAATGCTAAAAACATGGGGTTGAGTATAAAGTGTTTTGTTTAGGATTATTGAGATAACCACCAAAACTGAACACAAATGGTTGAAAGTAGTCACTTGTGGGACTGTGACACAGTGTGGTGGAAGATGTGCCTTTCATTTTTGTGTCATTTTGTATAGTTTGAATTTTTAGTGTTTTTGAATTTATTCTACAATTAATGTATAAATATTAGTGTTTTTGATGTGTGAAATGTAGGCATTTAAGAATTGCTTTTTTTGGTCATTGTAATAGACTTAAATTTTTTTCTGTGATTAGCAGCCCATTAATTCATTGATGTGGAGAGAGGGATGCTAACAGTAGTTCAGTTCAGTCGCTCAGTCGTGTCTGACTCTTTGTGACCCCTTGAATCGCAGCACGCCAGACCTCCCTGTCCATCACAAATTCCCAGAGTTTACTCAGACTCATGTCCATCGAGTCGGTGATGCCATCCAGCCATCTCATCCTCTGTCGTTCCCTTCTCCTCCTGCCCCCAATCCCTCCCAGCATCAGGGTCTTTTCCAATAGTCAACTCTTCCCATGAGGTGGCCAAAGTATTGGA